CATACTAATGGTCTATCACTCATACTGCGCTGTGATTGGCTACTCTACTAATGGTCTAATTTGTGATAGACCACTCGCGGGAAAATCAAAATAAATAAATTATATATTATAAAATATTTTAAGGATATTTCAATTTGTTTTCATTATTTGACCGATTAGTATGTTTATACTAAAACAATTAGACCTCTCGGCCTCGTGGACTACGAGCTAATAGCCCGGCCTCGCGGACTCGGCCTCATGGGCTATTAGCTCGTAGTCCACTCGACCTCGAGGTCTAATTGTTAATTAGTACGCTCTAATTGCATTGTTTTCTTTTGTGTCTATTTGACTATCACCAATTCCAATATTGTTTCACGGGCTTAATGACTTACAACTTTATTGTGTTGTCTTGTGCAAATACTAAAAGCATTTCCATGCTTAAGAAATAGTATGAATAGTATTTAAAAATAGTATATATCACACTTTAACGATCATTTTTTTGTTTCACGGGCTAAATGCCTTCACTCTAATACTATTTTTACTATGGATGACATTTCCACCAAAAAATCTTTATTTGTCTTTATTTTAATCCTTGAACAGAATGATTTCAGCTCGCACCCGTATGCAATTGACCATCAAAACACTGTCAAAAGAATGACCGAAATTAGAGCTCACATGGAATAGTTAACTAGTCGAGGATAATGAAATTATCAACCCTGTGCGGTAAAGTAATAATTATCAGGATAAAAAAAACAGTATTCTATCAGCAAGCAATTTTTTAAATAACAAAATTCACGACTTTATATTTTAAAAATTGTTTCTTTCAATATGTCGACTATCTTGAATGGTGAAAGTTCGGGTTTCCTGTGTCTGGGGATAAAGTGACACCGACAAGAAGATCACGAAATATGGTGAACGATGCAGCTTAGGATGAAATTAAAAACAAAAAGAAAAAAATCATCTCCTCCTTTATTTAATTCCATTTCTTCTGTTGTTTCTCTCATCACACATAATTATTTTTCCTCTTTCCCAACAAGTATACAACACAGGGCCATCTTCCTGCATCTTTCTTTCTAATCCCAAAAATTTTAAAATGGCTGATCGACACTTTTAGGATTAAAATTTCCACAATATGGGTTTGTCGTATCTCTTTTGTTTCTCATTTCTCTTTATTTTGATCTCATTCAAGAACAGAAAGAGTAACAAACACCTGTTTGCATGTTGCTCATGACATGAATGACAGTAATTAATACTGCTTAGGTTCTGCA